GTTATAAACATATTCATGAAATATTTTTATATTTCACTTCTTTTTTCACACAAGTACGATGAAATAGTATTTTAAACAGTGTCATTGCCTTGATTCAGAGGATTTAAAAAACTTTTTTCAAACTTAAAAGATGTTCAAAATTTACATTTAGTTCGAAAATTTCATTTAATATCCTTGGAAACATGTGATTTACGTTAAATAATGTTAGTTTTCAGAAATTATTGTTTATATTTTTTTCGTCGCTCTCCGTTACCTTCTGCAACTTTATTTATTAGATATAATTTTTTCCAAAATTTTCCACTTTCCAACGGTCTATTAAACTTATAACTTCTGACTATTATTCCCGTACATTAATTTTCGACCTGGATAAGCATTTTTCTTTGTTTCTCCATTATTCAATTATCAAATTCTTTCAAAAGTTATATTTAGCATTTTTTTCGTAACTCCTAACAATGAGAGACAATTATTTTTTTTAAATAAACCAAATTAAATGTAATTTAGTGGAAGATGTATTGGACATTGGACATTTAACAACTGTAAGGTGACATCAATGTGGATATTAAAGACTAGCTGATATTAAAGACCACTTAATAATATAATGATATACCAAGTTTAATCAAAATCGTTAGAGGCACTTTTATGAAAATCGTAAAAATGTGTTAGATCGATGTTATAAAGTACCACTTCCGATTTGCCGATTTTGACGAAAACGTTGCTGTAACATCCCAGCTGTATACAAACCTTAAATACGCAATTTCAGTTTCGCGCTACTTTTCGTTTTTTTGAAATAGTATTCTCGGATACAGTCCATTTTGCGGGACATGGTTATTTCCACTAAGCGGACCTTAATACGTGTATTTTTGTTGAAAACTCGGATTCAAAATTTTTCAAGATCGCAATACTTTCGCTTACTATATATTTCATATATAGGTAAGTGAAAGTAAAACTAACTACCTAAAAGAAATGGTGTTTAAGTGATTCTTGACGTCCTATTAAATGTAATAACTCAAACGATAATACTTTTAGAGATAATTTGTTAATATGGTTTTAATAAGACATGGTTATATTTTCTTTATTTATTAAGACATTTTGGGAGGCTCCAGCCCGAAAGATTCGCTATGACTCTGGAGGCTACAGTGAATCAAAAAAGTATTACTTAACTTTTTTGAAATTTCATTGTAAAATAATCCAAAATTGGTTTGCTATTTATTTAATAAAATATTTAGACAAATTCATAATTTGGGTAAAAAAAATTAATTTACTTAATTAAAATATTTAGCAAACGAAAAATCATTTCAACATTGTAAAAAACACTTTAATTTGAGGTTTATTTACTGAACTAGATATTTATTAATATTTTGTCATAATACCATACAGATATCAACGACATCCTGAAATCTTCTTGGTATTGATAACAAAAAAAATTGAGTTACGTCTTGTCGAATTTTACGCCATTTCCCTGACAAATTTTCTTTTAAATAATTTTTAAAGAAATTTTATTTTTCTTAATTTCAAATCCAACAGGTACCATAGGTGTTCTATGGCGTTTATGTCCGTAGGCTGTGGTGGTGTTTTCAATTGGCTGGGGACGTTGTACAGCGTCCATTCTTTTGTTTTATTTGGAGTGTGGCAAAGGAGAATCTGCGGGGAGGGCTTTTGGACTAAGCTCCCTTCCCCCACAAAATGGTAAAATGTAACCATATTTTATGGAAAAAATATTACAAAATTATCTGTTCAAGTATAATTGTTCGTGTAATTACATTTAATAAGACTTCAAGAATCACTTAAAATCCATTTCATACAGCCAGTATCTTTCTTTTTTTTTTTTCAAAGTAATTATGGGTATATATTGGAAAAAAAAAAAGCTTTCCGGCTGAAGCACCCCCAAAATTAAATCCTGGATCCGCTAGTGGTGTGTGCTTGGCATCATTGTCTTGTTGGAAGATTAATGCATCTTTGATCCTCAGATTTTCATCTCTACTTGTTAAATTATGTCGGAAAATATCGACATATTGTTTGGCATTCATAATATTGTTAATAAAGGTTAAGTTTCCAGTCATACCATATCATTAAGTATGTCATTCCATGAGATGCCCTCCCACACCTGGACACTTCCACTTTCGGAGTTTTACAGGCTTCATATGTCGAGTTTGAAACTCAGCATCAAGTTTCCGCCGACCGAACTTGTAGCCATTAGGATGGCGTATGTTAAACTTGCTTTCATCTGAAAATAAAACATTGTTCTAGAACTCTAGTTCTTTATTAAATTGACTTTTGGAAAACTCAAGTCTTTTTTTGCAGTTCGCCTCTATAATAACAGGTTTTTTCTTTGGAATCTGTCGTAATAATATTTCTAACAGAAGGTGCTTACTGAAGTAAATGCGACCTCTTCGGGCAAGTGATAAATTCTCATTTTGCTCAACAATTCCTTGGACATCTCATTAAAATTTGATGACCTCTCTGAAATGCGTATGTTTAAAACTTTCTAAACTTTTGTACATTATTTTGAACACTGCTTAAACCAATTTATAATTTAGTCACTATTCGTCGGTAGTCGCTGTTTAGTCCTTTAGATTGTAATTTAATGATGTGTTTTTTTTTAAACTGACACAATATTCTTTGGTTTTATCCTTGTTATGGCAGATATACAGCAAAGACTGATCTTTATTATTGTCATTATATTATCGTCAATCCTCGTTTCTAATCTCTTGAAAGAAAACGGATTTATTTCTTTTGACTAAGTCTAATAGTAAACATTTAAAACTGTGCCAATACTTTTTCGACCCCCAAAATTTACTCTTTATGTTTATTTTAAACATAGATGTTGAATTCCGAACATTCATCGCTTCTAAAATATTATTCTCTAAGATCACTTTGTTGTATAAATATTAGTTCTGGAAAATATCTTAATAGTATTGAGATTTTCAGAAATTGGAATATACAAGTATTTGAGATGTCAACTTCAACTATAGGTCAAATATATATATTTTTAAACATGACGTTTTCGATCTTAAGCTTAAATATCACACAATGGACCTAAAAATTCTGTGAACACATACTATACATTTTATGTAATTAATTTTATCAATATGACAGAATTATATATTTTTTCAGTACAACGTTTTATTTAATTATAGAAAAATTCAGTTTAATTATATAATAACAACAATAATCTTCTGCGGATTCGATTTTATTATGTTGGCTGAAAACGTAGCTGAATTAATCTGTAAAACAAAGTTAAATGGAGAAACAATAATGAACATCCACCCCGCATTTTATTATATTAGTTTTATCATCATCACCGACATTTTTTTTCTAGAGCAAGCCATTTTATATAACAAAAATATTCATTTGTTATTTTATATAAAATACTACGATATTTTTTTGTCATTGCTGTTTGAATTATTTCATTGCATTTTTTCATCATACATACAGCTAACAAAATCTGGGAACACTATAAATTTACTCACAATAATTAAATTTTTACTTCACAATATAAATTTGTGGACCCTTTTTTTCAAATCTAATGACTTAAGTCCACAAAAGCTCTGCAATTCAATTAAAATACTGGACTTTTGTGGATCCTACCATCTTTGCAGTAATTTCTTCAGGATTCTTACACTATTATCTTTTTTAATTCTTCTCTGTTCCTTATTCGTCATTTTCTTGAACTTCAATTGATTTTCTTGCTCTATGCACCTCCACAGAGAAAAAACTTGTAGGAAAATATGTTCTGGGGCGCCCATTCGAGGTGACGTGGTATGACAAAACGTAAGATTAATGAAAATGGTCATGATAATTTTTTTTCAGGATAAGGAGCGCCTCCTGGCAGAATTCGCTAGTGCAGATCACAACAATATTTTTTTTATATATATCACATCAGAAAATTCGACTTAGAGGACGAATGTTTCTGATATTTCTCTTTTCTTTAAATAGATGTTTTTGGAATTTTTTTTCAAAATCCAGAGAGTGGGCACGCCTCTTGGCAGAATTGACTAGTGATGGTCACGATAATAATTTTTTTTTATATTACATTAGGAAATTCGTCTATCAGGATGAATTTTCCCTATATTTCTCTTTTCTTTAAATATCTTTTCTATATTTCTCTTTACTTTTGAATTTTTTTCACACTTCCAGGGGGAGAAGAAGGGGCGCGCGCCCCCGCATCTTCCGGCTGGATCAAGATGTTAACTTAGTCTGTTTGAGGAATTTGAATATTGTCGAGATAAACAGGAGGGCAAGTTTACCGTCGAAGAGTAGAAGTAATTTATTTAATTATCAATTACCCCTTGTTTCATGTGTTTTGGAGTGATCTTTCGTTTACTTTTTCAATCCCTCGGCATATAGATATTGTCTTGGTATATACAGATCACCATACAAATTAAAAATGGAAGAAAACGGTGATATTAGACTTTAATTCAAAAACAAATATCTTATAACCAATAGTAATTGAGCAAAAAGGGGGGGGGGAGATGAGTAGATTATTTTATGAATTCAGTCCATTTAATCGAGTGAACATAATACTGTTCGTCATGTAATTATGTGCTTATTAAGATTTCCTATTTATTTATTTAGCTTTTTTAAAGGTAAAATGTAGTTTTTTATTAATAATTTAAAATATGAAAGCGTAATAGCACAAAAAATCATTCAACCAATCTTGTGATCCTTTAAGTTGCCATAGTGACAAGGGTTAATTATTCAATCTTAATCGTTGAAAGAATAAATAAATTGTTACATGAAGTAAATAATTAAGTTTAAAATGCAAATACGAAACAAGATTTTTTTTTTTAAATGCGCTTGAACCCATTTGACTTCAGTCAGACGCACTAAGAGATAAGAACGATAGTGGTTATGACCAGATTGTGTTTGTGTTTAAATGTAAATTTTATATTTACTCAAATAGTAAACATTTTTCGAGTAATTACATGTAATAAAACGAAAATGATCCGACGCTGGCCTCGAGATTTTATTTTAGGAACTGGATTAACCTCAGGTGTAATATGTGCGTAGGTTTTAGAGCCCTTTCATTTAGATGTATGATATGTGTATTTATAGATTTAGGTGTAGTCCTTTATATATTATATTACATAGCCTCTAGTAGTGAAAAAAATGTAGCCTATAATGTTTTCATCTCAGTTAATTCTGAAGAAATCCATTTGCTTATTTTTCTGTATAGAAGTATGATTTAGTGTAGATGTTTTAACTTTAGCATTATGTTATTTTTTTTTTCATTTCATAATTGCATTATTTTCATTCCAATTAGGATTTTGTTGGAGATGTTGAAAAGAATTATTCTCTTAAAGGAGCATGATAGAGGTAAACAATGTTGTTACTATATATTTACCTATTAGAAGAAGCATATTTTAATTTAATTCCAATTAGAAAGTTTTTTTTTATTCCAGTGAACGTTTTGTTATGCCTATTGAACTTGTTTTTGCATGATGGTTTCAAATTTTTTATTATATTTATATTTGATATTTATTTATGGCTTCGAGAGTATACTTGATTAATTAATTTTAATTGGCTTCAGGTTGAAGTTTGGAGAAATGATTGAAAGTGTATCTCGGCGTGCTTTTGGTGGCTCAAGTGGGACTTATAACGTTAGAGCTACAGAACTAGCAAGGGATAGGAGGCTTAAAACATTGACAGTTACTGTTATTTTTTTAGATGACACCAAACAATTATTTCAGCTAGAGGTATGTGCTGTGTTTATTGGTCGAATTTTTTAAAAAGTGAAAGAAAAGGCATCTATTCTATAGCATAATAAAGTTGGTTGATTGGCTATTAACATATTTAATTCTTCAGCTCAAGGGATGTAATGTAGAGTTTGTTCCATTTGCATTTCTAGTAATTAATGAAGTTTAAAATAGTAATTGTGAATCTCTTTATTGAGGCATAGTGTTTTTAATGACTGCAAGGTTTGATAGTATTTTTAGGCTGTGATATTTCAGAATCTATTACTTCATATTATAATTTTTGTATATTTCTGGTTGTCATTTTTTTAAAGGTTCTTGGGTACAAGAATAGGTTCGTTATTATCTTTGATTTTCAAATTATTTATTTTTTTGGTAATGCTAAAGCACTACCACATCTGATTGACAAATACTCTTAAGATTATTTTGATCACACTGCTTGCAGTTGCTAGCAGATTTATTTATGCAAAATATCAAAATAAGAGCAATTTTTATCTTGACTGATTATAATCACTTGGCCCTGTACATACCTTACTATCCTCTACTTTCTCTCTACAACATTGTTATTTTGTAACTGTCAACAAACCTCAGAGTCACCTTTGACCGATACCTGCTCTGGAATAAATATTTATAAGAAGAAAAATAAATTTTATTGTGGGACATTCAGATCTCTAAGAACAATTATTATGAACAAGTTAGTGACATTTGTCTGGCATAAGAAGATGAACAAGAATTAATTATATTAAATTGTTAGTGAGACTTGAAATTAAAATGATAAAAAGGCACAAGTTGACATGTGAATTATAGATAGATGCGTATGAGCGCGTTCAAATATAAACAATAGTTAATATGTAAGTATCTGTAAGATAAAATAAGGCTGGCATCTATAAAACACAAAAATATTATTCTTACATTAATATGGAAGATTGATTGCTGAGGAAATGGAAAAATAAAAGGTGTTTAAATGAGGTTAAGGATGAGGATTTTCGTACGGAAGTAAGTTGAGTATGTAATTCCAAAACAGTGTAGCACATATGAGAAAGGATTTTTTAATGGAAACAGTTCTACGGAAGTCATAAACAAGTTAGTGGGCTGAGATCTCATGTTGAAGGAATAGACTGAGGAGCAATAAGTAAACAGATCAAGAAGGTAAGTGGATTTTTCGGTTGTAAAGGTTCGGAAAAGAAAAATACCTAGAAGATACTTCCATCGGAAAACTGGATAGAGCAACATCAACTCGGCATACCAACTGGACACATGTCAGCGCATGAGGGCTCCAAAGATGAATCTAATGAAGCAATTAATTAGTATTTTCAATCTTATCTCAAGCCCACCAGACAGTCCACCGTATACTAGGCCGTCATAATCAAAGTGAGGGAAAATGAGAGATGAAATTAGGAGCTGACGGCTCTTTAGGGATATAGAATCACGGAATCTCAGCAACACTTTTAGGGTAGCAATGGATTTTCGGATAATTTGGAAAATATGATTGTTCCAGGAGTGATGTTGATCAAAAATTACCTTCTGACTTCTTATGGAAGTATGGAAATGAAATGGTGTCCATTATAGCCCATAGAGTTGGGGATAATAAGGAATGAAACTAATAAGAATAGCTTTAGTCTTCTCCATGTTAATATTTAAATCATTGCTGGTTAACCAAGTGTAATACTATCTATATCTTCCTGTAGCCATCGGATCGTCTCAAGCATCTTGGTAGGATGAAAGGAAAAGTAGATTTGAAGGTCATCAGCATAAAGGTGGTATTGTGAATGATAGATAGAATCAGGAAGGTCGTTGATGTAGATGAAGAAAAAATTGGAAGAAAGCGAGGTAATGTTTTTTGACTTTACTACTGAGGGATTTTATATGAAATATTCTGAAGACCCATCAATATCATTAAACAGTTGCATTGATTCCATGAATCCTTGCATTTAAAAGCACATTAGGTTCTTGTCTCCTCTTTTCTTTTTGTCTTATGAATTGATTTTTAGATTTATCTTTAGGGTTTCCAGATGTACCCATATCTGTGGCTTTATACTGATTTTAAGTGCCTTTGGCCTTCTCTCCCCGTTAGCAATATTTGTTTGGTTTTCTTCCTTATGTAATGCTATGTCAGATATAAATTTAAACTGATTATTTAGCATAGAACTACCTACCTACTAAACAATAAAGACTCACTTATATTCACTGTTCTTATTCTTAAGCTACCTGGTCCCAGAATAAAGATTATTTTTCTATTTAAATTTTGGATTTTTTTTTGTCCTTCCGTTCCTCACCTTTTCAGCTATAAAGAAACTTTTCTGGGCCAGGGGAGAAGGCTGGAGATTAATGTCAACGTTAAAAACACCTCTGACACCAGGACACCACTTTGTAATTATTTTATCATGTTATCTTAAATTTATCAGATTATCATTTATAAATATTTTCGATAATCTAATGTTTTTTTTATTTATTCAATGTAATAGGTCTTGTAGCCAGAAAAAATCTTTAGTTTTGTAAACACTTAAGTTATTTTTAAGGGAAGTGGTTGATGCCGTGAAGGCTATCAAAGATTGTGTTGTATATGTTGATTTTTTTAATGAACATAATAAATCATGGTTCCTTGGTTTGCTTTTAATAATATATTTTTTTCTTAATTTAGAAACGTGCGAAAGGACATGTGCTGTTAGAACTTGTTTTCCAACATCTTGAGCTTGTTGAAAAGCATTACTTCGGGCTCCAGTTTTCTGATAATGGTGTTCCTCCTACACCAGCTAATGCTGACATGGTAACTTGTTTTTTATGACTTATGATAATTTTTTTCCTGCAATCTTATTTAACTTTTTATTTATTTATCATTTTAAAATTTTGCTCTGTTGTTAAAGCGATGGCTAGATCCTGCGAAACCAGTAAAGAAACAAATGAGAGGTAATTGGCTTTTATACTATTATTAATATTAGGTAATTTCTATACTATTTTACGAATTTCAGTCAAATGGTACAAACAGTTTTCAAACTATAGGCATGTCAAACAATACATTTTCTGATCTATAAGTGGAAGTATTTTTTTGAAAACTGGATTGAATTTGATAAAATTGATATACTCTTGATTATCTGTTTACCAATCCCTAACTTCGCTCCAAATTTCAACCAAATCGAAGCGCATAGATAAGAAAAAGTAGAGGACGGAATTGAATAAAATTGATACTACATAATTTTTTTATTAATACCTGCATTTTTCCAACTTTGAGCCAAATTAAATAAGCTGTTTCTGCAATACTGTCATATGCAAGAAAATACATTTGGGCGTGCGCAAGTGAAAGTGTTGGATGGATTTTGATAAAATTGATATGGGACCACCTAGACGCCAACCCGCACAATATCTGAAAATTCCATGAAAATCGGATGAACGGTAGTAGGTGTTCGTTACATCGATTTGACTACAGGCAGATAGACACCGAACCAAATTTGATCCTTGATGCCTGAAACGTAAAACACGAGTGAAAATGTTCGATTCTGAGCACCAAATTTCTTTTAACCTCTCGCACGAATACAAAGCTTCCCTACCTTTGGTAGTGAGGAAGCTAAAAAAAAAAATTGTTTTTTCAAGATATACCGTCATTGTTAGCACCTTCAGTTTTCTTCAATATTAAGTTATCAAGGATAAATTTAATTGAAAAGAAGAAGATAGCAACTGATAATTTTTCAATCTTTCCATCATTTTTGGTTATTGGTGTCCTGTGATGTTTTCTCTTTGGCAGTTACCTGCTTTTAGATGTCAATTTTTTCCACCAACAAATCTCATTGTATGTGCAAATCTCACCTTAATGACAGTGTTGCCATAGGATACGTATCACTTGACGTCAATTAGGTTTCTATAGATTAGAGAATTGGAATTTGCTACTTCTACTTGAAAATCTCTTTCTTTTGACATCCCAAAATATATTTCTCCTGAAAGCCAGAAATACGATCTTACTACTGAATTGTAGATTATTCTTATTGTTATTTTTATATATTTATTTATTTTTTTGGTATTTCAAGAAAGATCACTATATTCTGTCTATTTTTAGGACATGGTTACTTTTATTTGAGAGTAAAATTTTATGTGTCAGACCCTAGCAAGTTACAAGAAGAGTACACTCGTTATCATTTCTACCTTCAGATCAGGAAGGATATATTGAATGGGAAACTTATCGTGCCTCCGTCCACTGCCTGCCTTCTCGCTAGCTACATGGTGCAATGTAAGTTGATGTTTTCTTTTTATTAGCTATAAAAATTTTAAACTTCACAATTTTATACATTATTATGGTAATCACTTATGACCTTTTAATTCTTATAATTTTGTACCCCGAAGGTAAAAAACACCATGTTCACTTTTGTATTTGTTCAGAGGAGCGAATATTCCATAACTTTGAGCTATTATAATTGCCTCTTAGTTATTAAATCTGTACTTCGAAGATAAAGTACACCCTATCACATTTTTATGTTTGTTCAAGGAGCCAATTATCCATAACTTTGGGCTATTAAAATTTGTTTCTCAGTTATTAAATTATATTTTAAAAAAAAATGGAGGTGGTGTTCAACACATAATTATTAAATTTCAATCCCCACTTTTCATATGATTCTATCACTTTATCAAAAATGGCTTGTCTCATTGGTTTCATCCTTAAACAATTTTTTTAATTTATTAAATTGCAAACCAATCATAGTACTTGAATATAGATAATTATGTATTCAGTAATTAGGAAGCTATGCAGATCATACTTGGCTGACATTTTTATTTTCCTAATAATTTTCTATTTAATCATATCACATCAAATCTTTAAAGCTTAGTGACCTATAGATTTGCACTTAACTATTCAAGTTTCCAGTGCACAGTAATATTTTTGTTTGAAGTTGAAAACCAGTTGGTGGCCAAACTCATAGGAAAATGTTTAAATCTCCAATGTTTTATTGCTTTTGATGATTACATTAAACCCATTTAAACTGAATTAAATCATTTTCAATATTGATTCGGCTCCCATTTGGACTTCAATAAATTTTAATGTTTGCTTTAAGTTGTGCACCATCCATTCTCTACCTCAATTCAGGTTAAGTACGAGCATGTAGAAGTTAAAAAAATGTTATGAGAAAAATTTGTACTGAAGGCTTTGAACTTTAGAGGGTTAATTAATTATTATTATTACATGAATCTGAAATCTAATATTTATTTTGGCCAATTTGGTTTTATTGATAATTTTTTTTCTTTTAAGCTGAACTTGGAGATTATCATCCAGATGATCATGGTCCGAAATACCTGTCAGGAATGCAACTCATCCCAGGACAGAGTGAAGAAATGGAAAGGAAGATAGCAGAACTCCACAAGTTACATAAGTAATCTCATGTCCAATAGTTTTGATATATCAACTAAGAACATCATTTTAATGGATTAATCAATCCAAAATATAAACTTCTTAAGGGTTTGATAAAGAGTTCCTAACTAGTCTACTTAATTGTCTCATAACCTGTATTTTAAATTATTATTATTATTTTTTATCAGTATAGTGTTTACTGTTTCATTACCTTAATTATTGTTCTTGATCATTGTAGGTCTGTTTTGTAAATGCCACCAACTCAAAAATATACAAAATCATACTAAACAAAAACTAACATATAGGGGTAATTATACACTTACATTTCAAATATATTGTTAAAACATTTAGTTTACACTATTTTTATTTTAAGAAGAAACAAGAAAAAACAATTAATTATAAAACAGCAATTAAAAATTAAAAAAAAAAAAGAAAGCAAGGTGGAAATGCGAATATCTGTTGAGTTCTCATGCATCACCGATATCGTTTGATTTTTGTCCAAAAACCAACAGTATACTATAGGCCACAGTATAATACAGGAATCTCTGTGCAAGCCAATTATCCTATTTAGACGACCGTGCTTACCATGGTTTTGGGAACTTATAAATGTGTTATATTATATTCTTTATTTTTGATGATTTTCTCTTTAGATTTAAATATCTCAATTACCTTTTTTTTACGACATTGAACAGAAAATGTCGAATTGAACAATGTTGTGTTTCTTAAAACTGTTTTGCAATAGACGTTTTTAAATTGTTAATAGAAACCTTTGTTTGACTACCTTGCTTTTGAGAAAGTACAGTTTGAATTCCATTCATTTCAAAAACTTGGAATGCTAATTTGACTTTTATAGTAGAAGTAAAAATTAATTTTATAAGTACAGAAGTAGGAACATCGTATACCGTGGCACACAAAAAACAAATTTTAGTTTTTAGATGTGTTATAGCATTTATTTTTATGTTTTCTAAAGTAGATTGTGTTATGAAGATTGCCTCCAATAATCCAATAACAAACATTATTTTTAAACCCAATATTCTAGTTTCTTTAATTTATTTTCTTGTGCTCTATGCAAAAAACATTTCTCTATTTGAAGTAATAATGTTTTTATTTAATTGATAGTGTTAGAATGAACTGGCTATCGATTTGAGATTTTTTAAATTTAGAAGTATGATAGAAAGATAAAGATGTATAGTCTACTTAATAATTTTTTTATTTATTATTATTTTTTTATTTTATTTTATTTTTTTTAGCTTATGAGTTTATTCAGAGAAATTTAATTTTAATATCACCATAAAATTCATTTTTAGAAATGAATTTTAATTGTAATAGTTACTTAGTATACTTAATAATTTAAGTTTGTTTTATTTGTAAAGAGGACAAACACCAGCTGATGCTGAATTCAACTTCTTAGACCACGCTAAAAGGTTGGATATGTATGGAGTTGATTTACATCGAGCTAGGGTGAGCAAATTTAATTAATTATATTTCATAATTTATTTATACTTATAATAAATTCATTAATCTATTGATATTTTTATTATCACATTCAGCTAAGTGGAAATACATCAATTTTCATTTTGGATTCAAATTAAATAATTTTATTAACAATTTTCTGTTTTCCGAATGGTTTGCTATAATTTATCTTAAAGTTAAAATTATTTTTTTTATTATTTTAATGCTTGTAATTAGTACTTCTTTATTCTGCTTATTATGACAAAGCAAGATTTAAGGAATGTTTATTAGTTTTTCAATTATGTTAATTTTAAATCCAGTTTATGATTTTCATTATAGTTTTGGTTTATTAATAAATTATTTCATTTTAATTTATAACTGTTAGTAAACAACTATTAAAATGAAAATAACCATTTTATTATTTATTCAGCTATTATTTCTAATAATTTTAAACATGTTTTTATGTTTACATAAGAGCAAGTACATATTTTTAATAATTATTTTATTTTTTAGGATTCGGCGAATAAAGAGTTGCAGTTGGGTGTCACCTCAACTGGACTTGTTGTCTTTCAGAACGGTGTTAAGATCAACAATTTCTCTTGGGGAAAGATAGTAAAAATTTCTTTTAAAAGGAAGCAATTCTTTATTCAGTTACGAAGGGAGCCTGTTAGTTTATTAATTTTATTTTATATTTGCTCTTTTTTATTTACTTTTTAATGATTAGATTATGTCTGTATTGGAGTCCTCCCAACCACACTTATACTTAATTTTAATCAGATTATGGACTAGATGCAACAGGCATGATTGAATAAAATGGCATATTAGCCAAAACGTAGTAGCCGATGTAAATTGAAATAAATGTGGTGAAGAAATAACAAACACAGCCTTTTTTTATATCCTATATATTATTTCTAAAAGGTGATTTTTTGTCGGTATGCCATAACTTCGTCAATTCTTCATCAAATCCAATGATTGACCATTCATTTTGAAGATATTTTTCTCCTTTACATGTGAAAAATAGTCCTATCCCCCACAAATTTCTGGAATAAAAGTTATGAAGGAAAAGAAGCTTTATTTGCGAATTACTCAAAAAGTATGCATTTTTTTCTCGATTGTACCCATGATAATTAGAAAGATTACTAAATTACCTACAAAACAAAAAAAAAATAGGACAATTATTAACAAAGATACAGTCTATTAATTAGTTTTGGTATACTTAATAATGTCTTTCTGCTTAAAGATATTGCATTTAGGAATAGAGTAGTCTATTACCCTTATTTTCCTGGCTGATATATTAACTTCATTATTTTTTAAAGACATTTGGTTGTTCTTACATTTTATTTTTTTTTAATAATTTAGAAAATCCCATAATCCGGCCATTATTTTGTCTTTATTATTTTTATTATCTTTCCAGTCAGCGTTTAAAAATAGGTCTTAGCAAAACAATTTGTACAAATATTTTTGTCTATTATGTTTAATGGAATATTGTAATCGACCAAGGAAAAAATATTAATTCCTTCCTTACATAATAAATGGGAACTACTTATTTCCATATTGTTTTGCTATTTCTTCACTAAACAAAATTTTCTGCCAATTATTCGCACGGGCCAACTAGTTATTATAAATACTCCACCTAAAACAAATAAGCACATATGGATTTAAGTAACATTTTTATTTAATCTTCATTAATTAAAAATGAATCATAGAATCCACAGATAACTTAACTAACAAGTTTAATTATTAAAATTGCTACCATTAAAAATGTATTGATTTATTTTTATTTAAGCTAATAAGTTACTGTTTGAATAATGTTAAATAAAAACTGTAGCAATAATGTTCACCAAATAAAGGCCTGCGAATCATACTACCCTCAAGGAAACTGGAATCCTCTAGGCTCAATCCATTACCTATCTTGGACTGCAATCAGATAAAAGATCAATAGCCACATCTCATATCAATAACAAATGCGGAGAAGCTAAAAAACTTGATAAGTACAATGGCTCCCTACTTTTTATGAAAATCTTCTTTTTCAACAAAATTATTTTATGTAAATCGGTTATATGCCCATCAATAACATATGCTTGTCCTGTATGGAGTTACACATGTGACTCAAACTATAAAAAATTAGAAAGGATACAAAATCTGTGTATGAGAATTAAAGGATCATCCCAGACACACAAGAATAACCTACATGTTTGGAATTTAAGACAGTAAAACAATTCATATACTCCCATAATTAAAGCAATAGGATTATTTTTATGATATTTTATGGAATTGTTATAAAACTTTCTTTATTTATTAACTCTCTTTTTCTTTTTTACATCTAGAGTGAAAGCTACGACACCCTTCTTGGGTTCAATGTAGTGACCTACAGGTCTTGCAAAGTTCTCTGGAAGTCTTGTGTAGAACATCATACCTTCTTCAGACTTCATTCTCCTGCAGTGAGACGCCGTACTCCGTTGCCAATCGGATCAAGAGTTTATTACTCTGGCAGAACTGAGCTTCAGGCGATAGAGGAAGCGAGACTTCGGCCTAGAGTTGAGCGGACTTTTATAAGGTTGTAAATATTTTCATACTGTTTTGATTATTGTTTAATTTTTCTGATAAGCTTTTTATGTAAAAGCTATTTATTCTTAACAGCCACATATAGCAGCCAGGTTATTATGTGCCACCAACATTTCTTTTCACGGATGTTAATATCATAGCTTAATTGAACTGTTCAGTGCCTCCCATGATCTTTAATTTTTTACTTTCACTTACCTATGTATGTAATATATAGTAAAGGAAAGTATTGTGATCGTGAAAATTTTTGAATCTCAGTTTTCAACAGAAATACAAGTTTTGAGGTACCCTGAGTCGAAATAACCAGTCCCACAAAATGGTGTGTGTGTGTGTGTGTGTATGTGATCAATCTAGCTCAAAAACGTAAAGTCATTAGAAACTAATATGACATATTCAAGATAGGTTTATGCGCTGAATATTACAGCTACTTTTTCCTGAAAATTGGCTAACCAGAAGTGGCACTTTATATCAATGATGTTACACATTTTTATGATTTTCTCAAAAACGGCTCTAATGATTATTTGGACCAGACTTGGCTATTTGGACTCAGAGAACCTCGATCACAATACTTTCTTTTACAATACTTTATTTTATATTTAGGTAAGTGAATGTAATATTGGAATACCTTATAATATTATTACTAAGTGGGAATTGATTACTAAGAATAATATGATTAAATAATTATGTGTAGAATAGAAGAAATATTTTTTACAAATGAAGAAAAAGTAATTAATATAAACCATAGAATTACAACTAACCAAATAGCTTCTGTGAAGCTAGCATAAGAAGTGGAGTAGACTTAAGGCAGAAAGAGAAAACCCCTCTGGGGGAGTGGTTTTGTTGTTTTTGAAAGGAAATGTTGTCACTTGTTGAAGCTATTTATTATAGTGAAATTTCTTTCTAATTAAAACCATTTCTAGCCATACAATGTACAATGTATCATCATATATCACGATTAATTGGCAAAACTGCAAAGATGAACTGAGGACTACTAAACAAGAAAAAAATTTCCTCTGAATGTATGTCCACAAACGCTTTGTTTAGGAGATATTCACATCTCCTAATTAATTATTAAATATTTACATTATATTAAATAAATAAAATCTATTTATTTGTTCTAACTACTTTATTAATTAAATGTTAACATTAACATTCATATTAAATGTTGTTCAAAGTGAAGGTACGTCCGCAAAAGCTTTGTTTAGGAGATGGATTAGATATAATACTAATATGGCCTTTTATTCCTAATTGTATAATAACTATTGGCAACATAAGGATTAATACTATTTGGAATTAGCAATGAGAAATCTCAATAAAATTTATCAGTTTGAAATAGGCTTTCGCAGAGTACTCATCATTATGCCTTTCATTTATACTAATGGGAAATATGCCGATATGGTGTTTGTTTATGGTTTTTGCAATGCTAATGCTAATGCTGCCCGTTGTGAATAAGGCATGCTATTTTCGAATAGAAGATGACCAAAGAAGTCTATCTTTAGCTCCACGTTTCAACATCTTAGAGAAACTGTTACATTTGCTGTAATACCATGTGCTGATGGTATTTTTGCCATTCTTTTTATTTCTGCCATTTTTTTTCTTCATTTAAGAAATGAAGAAAGGAGTGCGACCATATTACAATATTTGGATGATAATCCATCTGGCAATGTACCAAGAGCTGGAGCTGAATTAAATATTACAGCAACTACAGTATGGAGGACTCTCATTATTATCAAAGGGTACAAAATTTATTATGTGTACTTAAATCAAGTTGAGCATAATCCAAAGTTTTTAGAAAAAAATTCTCTAGACAGATGAAGCTACCTTTACAAGAAGATGTATTAGAAAAATAATCATCTCTGGTCGCAGGAAAATCTCCATGTCATTTGTGTTCATCATTTTCAGCACCAATTTCAGTGCAATGTGTGGTTGGGTATAATAGACAATATTTTAATAGTTCTGCATTTCTTGCCTACTCTACTCAATGCGGGCACATTTCTGGAATTTCTTAATAATGATTATTATGATTTAGTTGAACATATTCCATTACAACTGGGAAGGGACATGTGGCTTCAATTGTCTTGCACATTACAGAAAAGGTCCACGACAATGGCAAAATAATAATTATCTCAATCAATGGATCGGCCGTGCAGGACCAGTGGCTTGACCTGCAGGCTCTCCAGACCTGACACCATTGGATTTTTTTGTTTGGGGTGACATTAAACAAAAAGTCTATGCAAGTGGAAATGGTCCACGACAATGGCAAAATGATAATTATCTGAATCAATGGACTGACCATGCAGAACCAGTGGCTTACCCTGCACGCTCTCCAGACCTGACACCATTGGATATTTTTGTTTGGGGTGACATTAAACAAAAAGTCTATGTCTATGTAAGTCCGGTCAATGACCTTAATTCCTTACAAAGAAGGATCATTGAATCTTGTGAAACAATAACATATCCAGTGCCATTCTGCCACTGCTGCTATTGAAGAAAGATGCCGAACCTGTCTTAATGCTCAAGGAAATCACTTTAAACAACATTTAATATGAATTTAATGTTTACGTTTAATTAATAAAGTAGTTGGAACAAATAAATAAGTTTAATTTACTTGATATAAATGAAAATGAAAATGAAAATGAAAATCTTTAGGTCTGAATATTTCCTAAACAACGCGTTTGCGGACATACCTTCATACAAATTTTTTTTCTTGTTTTGAGGTCCTTAATTCATATTTTCAGTTTGGCCAATCAACCCTGAAACACTGTATAATATGTTATGTTAATAGAATATGTTACCAAAACTTCTATTGAAATTTAATTTGAACTATATTTTATACAGGTGCTCCAGTCGTAAGTTGGTTGTAAGTACTCCTGATGACAAGAATAGACCTCTTGGGGTAACTAATTCGACGAGATCTTCTCGAGCGTACGATAACAAAGTGACTTCGCTTTCAAGGGAACCTAGGAGAGCATGGGGAGAGAACTCGCCCAATAATATTGATGAGTATGTGAAATGTTGCCTCATTACTGCATGTATCAAGGTTATTAGAGTCCAGAGAAAAAATATATGCTCAAAATAAAAAAAGGTGTTATCAGCATTAAGCTTTTATTTTTTAATTGAAGTTGAGGTGAGAGAGGCCCTAAGTGCTTGGTTCGTAACATTATTGGTTTGATCTGACCCACCGGGGTTAGTTCATTTTTATTTCTTTGAGGCCATGGCCAAATTGGATTAGCCATTTCCGAAATATAGGTGTATCTTGGTATTTCAATTTATGCATATGTAGTTTTTTAATGAATGGAATTTTATGTAATGTTGGGTACTTAATCCCTGAAAATTTGGTAAAAATCAGACAAACAATAGTAGTTTTAATGTCATTGATTTGAATATCCTCTGACATAAAAACAAAATCCACTCTTTGATCACTAAAACATAAACAGAATTTTGATTTAATTTAAATCTATGTTAAATAAAATTATTCTTTCTGTTTTTGTATTTTTTGTCCATAATTCAGTGAATATAATGGATTAACATCTAGAAATGATATTTATTACAGAAAAAGAATTATCTGAAATATCGTGTAAAAATGTTGACATATATTGAAGGAAGAGGTGAAAGAATGGGTGGCAAAATTAAGTTTTCTTCCACGATCATGTTTTCTATCATGTACTAATCAGTTCCATTTTGATGACTTACTCGTTTTAATTATCTATGTTTCTTACTGTCAATTTAATCTGTTGAGCTACAAAATAGTTTCTCACTCCTATAAAGTTCCAATTATTTCAATTTTAAACTCATTGGTCCAGTCATAAAATTAATAATTGTCTTCTATTAAAATTATTGATGATTTTAAACTCATTGGTCCAGTCATAAAATTAATAATTGTCTTCTATTAAAATTATTGATGATTTTTCATAGAAACGCGTATGAAAATCAAATGCAATTAAAATAACCCTAGTAAGATTAATAATGCTTTTAACTAAAGATGATGCCTATTTAAGATCATAAGTGATTAATTAAAATTAATATTTTTTTGTCATTTTCTCATTCTTTCTATATTTTCAATTATTTAATCCTTTTTTTATTCTTCCTCATTTTGTTTTAAAACAGTTTCCTGTAAATACTTGTATATAAATTACTTATATGTTATAATTTAAAAAATTATATAAACCTTTTTTATAAAAATCATAATTTCATTTAAAATCTTTGATATAAGAAATATAAATAGCCAAATTAGCTTGTTTATCCCGAAATGTAAGCTCCTGTCATGCTACTTGAGGTCCCTACGATCGAGAGTGGAATTTATATTATTTATCATAGGTTTTTTTTTTTTTTTTCGGGATGTTATATCTTTATCAAATCCCATGTTTGAGTCATCATTTTGAAGATTTCTTTCTCGTTCAGGTGGGAAAATAGTCATATTCCCCTGAAATTTCAGGATCAAGGAGAAGGTCAATGTTAAGAAGGAAAAGAAACTTTATTTTTGTTCATTGCACCCATAATTATCTGAAAGGTTACTAAATACCCAACACAAAAAAAAAAAAAAAAAAAAAAAAAAAAAAATATCACCTCTTCCTCGTCTTTTAGGCTATACAGGGATTTTTCTGGGCCAAGGGAGAGGGTGAGGGATTAATACCACAGTTGAAAAGCCCCTCTGGCACTGGGACGCGAACTCATAATTATTTTGTATCTTGTAACTTCAGTTTGTCATGTGGTTGGTAACCAGGCAACTCGTCCACTCAACCACCCTGCCCGTATATTATGTACTTATTTTCTTATGATGCTTACAGCGATGGAGGTTTCCTGGATCGAACGATAGAGGAGTCGAGGGCGTTTACACCAGTTCTCCCGGCTAGGACTATTTCTTATGCCGATGAAGAACCTGACAGTGAGAGACCGACGACTGCCTCTGGCCTCTACGACCTTTCCCATTACAGTCCTCAGTCAAGCCCCCACCTAACTTCTCAGGTATGTTTTAAACTTCTTTGTATTCTTCATAATCTGATACAAAGGATTGTAAAGATTACTTATAACGATTACATCGAATACGTCTAAAGCACACATTTAGCCTGAGCACAAATGAGCCTGATTATATTAATAATTGTATACATAATTATTTTTGTGTTATATAAAATAATTATGAAAATGTAAATATATTATATTTTGTAATTAAAATTGGTATGTTATGGAAAGAAATATTAGTTTCAACTCAACATTGTATGATTTTACTCTTGGGCTGTCATCTTATTGTTGGCAAGCTTTAACTCAATTATCTTAGCCCATGTCTTTGTATTTCACACACCCAGGAAATGCAAGTCTGTGATGACTATCGAGTCATTGGCATGGAATGGGTTAAGCAGAAAAGAAATGGCAGTGTGTAAATTATCACTGCCTACCAATGTATACAATTTTAAAATATTACCATTTTTGATTTCCGAATGCTGATGACCTCATTTTCCAATCCTTTCATCTTATCAAGATGCTTGAACTGACCCAAAGAATACAACAAGACCATACCAACACATGGACAGTAAATGATGAATTGAAGTTGGATGTTGATGCAACCCTGGCCATTCTCATTGATTCCAACCATCTTCCTTATTCCTTATTTGTTATTCCCTTTTTTATCATCCCTTACTTTATCTTAATGACCTCTTAATGAAAATTCTATATGAAACCTTGGGATAATTTTTTATGAATATCTGATAAATAATTCCCAAATCATTAAAAAATCTATTGCTCCCTTAAATACTATTTTCCTTTCTCATTTTCCTCCACTTTGATTATGGCTGGCTTGTATAAGCTGGGTTGTATCTTAGGCGAGAGATGAGGCTGATTAATGATTTGTTTCGTTAGATTCATCTTCGGAGCATTCAGGCTCTCTAATGTCTTCAGTTGGTATACCGAGTTAATGTGGCTTTATTCAGTTCCTTTTTCAGTCCTTCAAAAAGACTCCTTACCTTCTTTATTTGTTCACACCTTTGTTCATCTGTCCACTCTTTAAACATGAGATCTCTACCCACAAACTTATATGTTTCTTATGAGAGAACTGCTTTAAAAAATCCTTTATCATATGCGTTACCTTCTTTTGGAATTCCTTTTCCATCTCTGTACGCAAAACATCATCTTTATCTATACTTAAATACCTAACATTTCTTCATCTCCTCAACTATCAATCTTCTGAATATAAGTAAAAATAAAATTGTGTACTTTAATGTTATATCTCTGTTATTTTACTGTTGTCTTATTGTTTTCATTTATATTGCATACCATTGCAGATGTGGAAACCCACTGACATTTATTTTTCTCTGATTTCATTATTTTCATTTATTTACTTAATGCTTGCATTTTATTTTTATTTTATTATTTTATATGTATCTCTTTTTACCAGAAAAGTTTATCTAAAATTGTGCATTATTATTTTCTTAGGAAAACTATATATTATTTTCTATAAAATAAATATTTCTTAGGTCGAGGAAGGAATTGTTTTCATCAGGATGACACCAGATGAAGAAGGGAGGTTTGGCTTCAATGTGAAAGGTGGGAGCGATCTAGCGATGCCGATCCTAGTATCCCGAGTGGCTCCAAACACTCCTGCAGACAGGTGCTATCCTAAGCTTAATGAAGGGGACCAGGTATAGGTTACTTAATTATCTCTTTATCATTGTAACTCATGTATCAATATGGTTACCTGCTATATCCTTAAAGGAACCATTTTTAATTTGTTTTTATTATATTATCATTATAATCATGTCATAAGAACTAACTATAATAACATATTATTCTGATTTATTAGAAATATATTAAAAAAAATTATGATTTAAGCTTGATTTTGATTTATGAATAAAAAAAAAATGATAAATTTAATTTTAATATTTGGAGGGAGGGCTTGAGAGTTCAGTTTCTGTGAATTTCTGAGGTCCAATTAACATAATTACTTATAAGCTAAGCACATATATATATTTATAGTTAAAATGAACTATATGAATTTATTGGATGAATTAATAATAAAATATTGCTTATATTTTCTTGCTAAAAGTCCATAAAACACTATTCTTGGTGAAAAGTTGACTGAAATAAATGAGTTGTGCCGCATAAATATTGAAACTGGATCTTTTTCATAAAGGTAACTGATGCTGGGTTTTACTAGTCCTCGTCCGGGAACCAACTCATTGATCTTGGCTGGTTAGAATTCGGACACCTACTGAGATATAAATACACAGGCATTCGGGATTATTACCCTAAACAATTACAAAAATCGGTCTTCACTCATTGTTTGTTCAAGACATGATCAATCAGGGCTGACCCACTCTTATTATTGCCTCAAAGTGGTAAGAAATTAATTTTACTTTCACTTAGCTATATATGTAATATATAGTTAGGGAAAGTATTGCGATCATGAAAATTTTTAAATCTAAATTTTCAATGGAAATACAAATTTTGAGGTTTCCTAAGTCCAAATAACCAAGTCCCACAAAACAGTCTGTGTCTATGTGTGTCTGTATGTGAACAGTCTAATTAATAAAAGGAAAAGTCATACAAAACTGAAATTACATATTTATGGTACGTATATGTATGTCTGGGATGTTACAGCAACTTTTTCTTTAAAATCAGCTAACCGAAGTGTCACTTCATATCATTGATTTTAAACATTTTTGTAATTTTCTCAAAAATGGCTTTAACGATTTTGATTGAACTTGGTATATCAATGTATCCTTCTTGGTTTTTTCCTTTTCTAAGTCATCAAAACCAAAAATCCTCCCTACATCCTACACCTTACTCTACATTCCCTTATCCACTCTTAATATCTGATCTCTACCTATCGATCTATATATTCCTCCCCATTAAACCACTTCATTTTGCAAATCCTTCGTCATTCGTGCTACCTCTTTTTGGAACTTCTTACCTATCTTCATACGTAAATCCACGTTCACAAATTCATTAAAACAACTATTCCATAACCAGTACACATACCAGATTGATGTATGTGTTTTTTGAACTCTGCTATTAATTTAATGGGACTTCATTACCAGATTAAAAATATTTTTCGTTTCATGTACAATTAAAGGTTCTTTAATATCAGCTAGGTTTTTGTCTTGTAACAAGGCTTAAATAACCAATATTCAAAATTTCTTCTTCTAAAGTACATTTATCTTGAAGTTTGATAATAAAGTATATATATATATATATATATATATATAATATATATAGAATTTAAATACATCTTAAAAGTGATAGAGATTTAATAAATATAATCTTTACAATTAAAGTGGTACTTGTTAAATAGCTGGTCGGGTCCAACTGCTATCTGCCAATGTTTATAACCTTAACACTGATAATTCTGACTAGGCAGTTGTGCTAATATCTTCATATTCATATTTATTGTATTATATTCATATTATTGAAATTGTAAACAAAAACATCTATAATAACAACATCCATAATTTTATGAAAATAATGCTAACTCACAGCTTACACGAGGAACAAAAAATAAATAATAGAATAACTTAGGTTAGAGGAGATAAGAAGGGAGCTAGCTATTTAACAAGTACCAAAAAATTATTCATAGATTAAAGAACATAAGTACTTTCAAATCTCTGTTTTTATTTAGAGCTCTGAGACTGCAGTTATGTGTTTCGATTAGACTGTTGGAGTTACAAGGTTTTTATTGCCTACCATCGATATAATAAATAGGATTTATGTTACTTTGATGGTCTTATGAGCTTTTTCTTTGATAAATATGAATAAAGTTGACAAATGTGTTTTTTAAGGTTTAGCTCCATTAAAAATGAGCTTCTTGAACTTTTTGTTATAGTACAATTTTTCCAGAAAATAATTTCTGTTCAAAGTAGAGTGGTAAGCGAAAGTTGTGTAATGTGCACACCAGATTTTTTTTTTTTAAACATTTCATGTAATGATTCTAATTCACTTTATATTTTTGTCCTTTGTTCATTAATGGTGTATGGTAACATCGAGATCTGTGGATCATCCTGAGGTGACTTACGGTTCTAATGCCAAATCTTAACAAAATTTTCCCATTAATTTTAGAGAAAATTAAATTACATATATTGAAATGTAAAACCTCAAATTTTGAGGAGAGGGTGTTAATTTTTTTTTTTATTGGTCAATAACAATAATTCATTTTTGAAAATAATAAACAAAAAAGGTTCATTATTTACTTGTGAAATTAAAGAGTATTTGTATAAATGAATTTATTTTGTAAGATTAATTTATTTTAGCTTTAGGAGTTTGTGTTTAATAATCAGATTAAATATTTTTACAGGTGCTATGTATAAATGGAATTGATGTCGGTGGAATGTTACATGAACAAGTTGTAAATCTGATCAGAGCATCGAGGGATGCTCATGGTGGAGAACTGGTTTTAACAGTCCGTCCAAGCAGTAAGTTTAATTGTTTATTCTTAGTTTATATATCTATATTGATTACGCAACTTATTATATTGATTTACGCAACTGTTCTCCTCATTGATAGGTGTATACGAGGCTGGTACCTGCCCTGAAGAGAAGGAAGAAGAGCCCCTGTATCAATACGTTAGTGATACAAGTGTCGGCAGAGACTCGTTGGAACAGTCCATTGGCCTGCTTCGTGAAGGTTTGATGTCTGGATCCTTGGTTCTAGCGTTCGATCGTCTCTACAGAAAGAAGCCAGGGTTGACAACTACACAGGCAGCTCTTCCCCAGAACACCAATGCCAACAGATACACTGATATATTACCATGTAAATTTTTTAAAAATTGATCATAACATTAGATGTTTTATGTTTCGATTTTGGGATAAAATTTTCTTTTGAGGAAGATGGTTCAGGATGGTGGTTATAAAAAGACTAATAAAATAGTGAAAAAAACTATTTTATTCCAAGTCAACGTTTCGACACGACTTTGCAGGTCTTCTTCAGGGCTATAACAAGATACAAAATTATATAGAAAAATGTGGAAGTTACATGATATTTAGATAAAAATTATAAACAATGTGAATACAGTTATTAAAATTATAAACAGTGTGAGTAGAAAATACGTAGAAATATTAAGAACAATAAACTATATACACAGAGTAAAGAAAGTATAACTAAGTAACAAGACCCTAAACTGAAGTAAATAAATGGTAGCAATTATTGTAGATAGGGAAAATTGAATGTATTAAGGAAGATAAAAAATATATTGCTAGTGGACCAACATTGCCAGAAAATAATTTCTATTCAAAGTAGAAAGGTAAGTGAAAGTTGTGTGTTATGCGCACAAGATTTTTCTATATACTTTTGTATCTTGTTTGTTCTAGCCCTGAAGAAGACCTGCGATGTCGGGTCGAAATGTTGACTTGAAATAAAATTGTTTTTTTTCACTATTTTACTATTTTTATGACCGCCACCCCAGACCATCTTACCCAAAAAAAATATATAACAGTCAACCATTAAGTATTCAATATGACCCAAAAATTCATTCTCACTAATTGATATGATTTTTGAATTAGGAATCAAGATATTTTAATGTTTTTATTATGACCCTCCATTCAGGTGTCATCTTGATCTTGATCTTGATCGAATGACAGCTCTTAAATGTTGACAGCTGTGCTCAACTCCTAAAATTATTGATTAAAGTGAGGTTAAACATATTCTGTCTGTAAGCAAAGTTTGTAAATTGTGGTTGATTGATTGTTTACTGTCATTTTTAGCACACAAAGTTAAATTAGTTTCACAACTTTAATACTTTCAAAACTTTTTATTTAAGACATAAAGTCCTGAATTGTATGTAAAGATTTTATTGCTTTCAGTTGTACAATTCAAATTACTTTTTCAGATGATCTGACTCGAGTTATTCTCGAGTCTGGAGTAAATGGTGACTATATTAATGCGAACTATGTCAATATGGAAATCCCTGGTTCAGGCATCATCAACCGCTATATCGCCACACAAGGTAATCAGTTAATTTAATTTTGTTCACCTTGTTTATTGAAGTTGATCTATTTTTATTTGCTATTTCAATAATGTTTTATTATACTGATTTTATCAATCATATTTCATCCTCAATACAATACTATTATAATTTTGCTTAATCTGTGATGTCTCATAAATAAAAAAAAAAAAATAATAAAATACGATCTTCACAACATTTAAAAAATATGTATATTAATACATTCTAAGGATATTTTGTTAGCCGGAAAAAACAACATACGTATCATTCATTGCACAAATATTAAAAAAAATATATAGTTTAATATAAAAATCTAAAACAGTTTTTCTCTCTCTTAAATTTCCTTTATTAATTTGTACGCGACGTTTCGGGATTTATTTTATTTCATCGTCAGACTAGAACAAGAAATATTTTTTATTGATATCTATATGTATTTTTAATAATGCAAATTTCTATTATTATTAATATAAATTATATAATTATCCGGTTGCCAATGTTATCTATTAATTATCATCTAATATGTCATAAGACTTCTCATATTTTTTGTTATTTAAAAATATCTCTAAAAAATGCAATAAACTTTGATAGATTTTGTTTGAAATAAATATATTAATTCACCTTAAATTTTATGTGAACCCTTCTCTAGAGAAAGCTATAAATCCGAAATGTCGCTTACAAACTAATAAAGAAAATTTATAAGAGAGGAAAAATGTTTTAGATTTTCATATACCCCAATAAAAAACATCTCTCTTAGGACTTATGAACAAAATATAGTTTTATTTGTTTAATAATTTCAAAACAAAAAATAAATAATGTAATGTGGGTACCAGCCAGCCAACTGATCTCATTGGTTGGTGATAGAATGAGTAGTGTTGCGAAACTCATTTTCACCATACACTGTCTGACTGGTAATGGTGATTGTGGTTTTCCACATGAACTTCATCCAAATCAGTTTCCTCACAGATGATATGATAGTGATGTGACATCCATTCATTTGGATAAATGAAATGATCTTATATGGTGGCTCATACGGAGCCTTTTCTGGCCAACAAATGCAATGTTTTATAAGAGCTAATAAAATATAAACAAGATTTTTGTTCCTAAGCATCTACAGTTGATAGGACCGGACTCCTGCTTCTATTGTTCTTTGCTGGGATGGGACCATTAGGAATGGGGAAGCCGCCTGTTCCACACTTCCAACCACTTCATCAGTAATGCTTATGATGTTGGAGCAACAGATGGATCCCTCCACTCCTCAATGCTTAATTATTAAAGTTCTTCCTCGTGAAAGAGATTGAGTGATGGAAATTTTCCAGAAATTTATTATGCAGTCAAACAATGTCAAGGATGCATGTGTTAGTTTATCATAAAGATTTCAAGGTAGGACGAGAACTTACAGTGAATCTTAATAAGCACAGAGCCTTTGTGATCTATGAAACCTTCCTCACCAAACAAATCGAGCCTAATCCTGACCATACTGACAGAAAATGTGAAAGTCTTTCATTCTCTTTATGACAGAATGTACACAAGGAATTGTCAGTTAGTCTGAGATCTAATACGTGATAGCTTAGCTTGCAGTAAATCAATGTAACAGATACGGTTATGTTGAATGAGATGAGGGATGCATATAACCGCAAAAGATGAAACCAACTAATTTGAGAGATCATCTTCCTTCACAAAAATGCTAGGGTCCATACTGCAGCTCTAATGAAATGAAATGAAAAATGAAAATGAAATTTTTTTAAATTATCCTTGGACTGTTCCTTTAGGACAAATTATAGATACAGAAAAAATGCCTATGTGGCCATACGTTAAATTAAATATTTACAAATCTCATTAAAATTATAATATTGGAACAAGAATAAAAAAAAAGCTAAAAAGTTACAGTTGTATATATGAAACAAACATGGGAAAATAAAATAACATAAGTGAACAAAATCATTTCTGATGGAACTTAAAAAATTCTCTTATATACAATTTGTGATCAGTCAGGTTGTGAAAGAAGTAGGTGCTTAAAAAGTAGAAATTTAAATGAGGAAACTGATTCTGCATGTCGGATATCGGGAGAGATGGTATTCCAAAAGGAGAAGGCTTGAATTATAAAGGATTTGTCAAACGCAGCAGTTAAGTAAGGAGATGGATAGAGGTCGGAAGGACAGGATTGAATACAATATTTAAATTGTAGGCTGTTAAAAATATTGGAAGGTCCTTGAGTTCTGATGGCTTGGTATAAAAAGGTAGCAAGGAAGTGCAGACGGCGGTTGGATGGATAGAGCCACTTCAACTTGGTGTAATACTGGGTTATATGCGTATCTCTTAAGATTCTGAAAACAAAATGTATTGTTTTGCCGAATTCATTAGGCGTTTAAGTCTGTCCTCGAATTCTCCCAAGAGTCCGCCATACTCCAGACAGCCTTAGTCAAAGTGGGGGAACACAATAGAGGAAACAGGAGTTGACGGGATTTATATGGAATGGGATAGTGGAGAAAGTTAAACTGTTTCAGGGTAGAGATAGTAAGATGGGAAATCTGGGAGATGTGTGGTTTCCAGGAGAAGGTTTGATCAAAAATAACATCAAGTTTTTTTATGGAAGTATTGAATGAGATAGGCGAGTTGTTCAGAAAAAGATTGGGGTGTGTGGGTAATGATTTGAGGAGTGAGGGAGATCCGATCAGGATGGCTTTCGTCTTCTGGACATTTAGGGTAATCCTATTGCAGTTTGAAAATTTTATTTTTAAAGCAGGAAGCTATGTGGGAAAATAAGTTTGAGCTGCCACTTGTTTTTCTTTAAATGAATTTTTTTTTTTAGTAAAAACTTATTTGTATTTTATCCTACCTCATGTATTGACCTCTTGCACATATTTCACATGAACTAATTTTTATCTACAAGATTGGAATAATTAAAATTTTAATTTATTGTTTATTTATAGGCCCTTTAGTAAATACAGTTGGTGACTTCTGGACGATGGTATGGGAGGCAGGGAGCTGCCTGGTTGTAATGGTAACCAGTCTCATGGAGCGTGGTAGGGCCAAGTGTCACAAGTACTGGCCAAACATTGGTGAGACGTTAGAAGGTGCAGGCCTGCGTCTCAAGTCTGTCCGTGCCCAGTACAACAACCCAGCTGGCTTCATATCTAACACTCTTACTCTGACTCATCTTCAGGTAAAATTTTACCTAAATTTTAAAAAAACTTGTTAAAATTATGCATAAATATAATTCATGTTTTTGTTGCCACAGAGTGGTGTTGAAAGAGAAATAACCCAGCTCCAATATATTGGTTGGCCTGATCATGGTGTACCTGATAATGCTGCAGTCTTCTTGCAGTTCATAGCTGAAGTCCGGAGGTTCAGGGTTGGTATGGTAAGTTGAATTAAATGTATTTTAAAGGATATGCCCGTGGTAATGTTGTTGATTCTGCTCCATTTTAAATGATGAGTTTATGTAAAAGTTTTAATTATGTATTGGATCAAATATAAGTTGAGGATTTTTTTCTGAAATTCCTCTTGTAAAATGAGGTTTGGACTACATTTAAGAAAAATTCATTCATATAAATATTTCTGTAACATATTTTATACTATCAATATTATAAATTTTCCCATCGTCAGAGAGTGGATATGTATCATTTTGATTACACAGCATATCATAGCCCGTTAACATGAATGGTTAAGTTTTTTTTATCAAAATGATTTGGTTTAACACTTTTTTTCCCCTATCCTCCCCATCCTAATCTTTTAGGCTATACAGGATTTTTGTGGGCCATTGGGTGAGGGCGGGGGATTAATGGCACAGTTAAAATTCTTCCCTGAACATGAACAAACTCTGCACCAGGACATGAACTTATAAATTATTTTCATCTAATTATCTTTGATTCGGGTTGCCAGGCAACTCATGGTGGTGTGCACACTCATTAGTCTGCTTGGCCACCCCTCCCCTTGGTTTCATACACTTGTTAATGTGCCATTTAGACATCCCTATGTGTATAAGAGTGCCATTTGTTACTAAAGCCTATTGTTCACCATTTCTCCTTGAGTATAATGATTAAATTGAGATACTGCATCTTCATGATTTATTTTTTAAAGCTAAGTTAACATGTTTATATAAAAGAAGATCAAGGCTTTCGGGAAGAGTGCTATGTTATAACCATAACACGTTAGCTAAAGTTACGGTCCCCGCGTCCTACAGCTTAGTATCAGGTATAATGACTATTTACATTTGTATCTATCTCTATATCTATCCAACTTTCATTTAAATATTTTTAGTGACTTTGTAAGATAGGCAAAATTCGAAACTATCCCATCTGAATATCGGAACCCGGGGATCGTAACTGCAGCCAACTTGTTAAAACACTCCTGATAATTCAACTAGGCAGGCAGTAAATTTTCATTAAATATTTGTCTCTGGCACTTCACATCTCTTTTTCTTCTACAAAAAATTATTTTCATCCACTCTTGTTTCCCTCAATTTTCGGTTCATTATTTTCAATAATCAACTTTTTTTTTTTGGTTCACCAAATTCAGATATTGAAACAGTAACTGGGACTGATAAAAAAGATATAAAAACTGTATTGGGAAAACATAAAAATATATTTTTACTATACAGAGCGAGTCTGTAAGAACTGACCAAACTCCAGGAATGGTTTGCAGACAGGAAAATATTTAGAAAATTCATATATTCTTATCCGATTTTCAATTTTCAAAATTTATAGGCTGATTAAAAATAAAAATATTTCACGAATAAACAGTACTTCTTAAGTATTAGCATTTCGGTTATCAATGTCTTATTTCAATAAATGTTCAAAGATACCACCATTGACTTCTAAACATTTTTGGCTTTGTCTTCAAAGGAACGACAGCTGCCCTCCTGATTGTTTCATATTAATCTATGATCTGAAAACCTTTCATCCAAATGTTGCCTCTCCTAACAAGGGAAGGCATGAGAGTTCCGTCATGCTGAAATTGTTTTATAAATCATAATGCTAATACTGAAATATTAATACATGTATGAAATATGGTTTATTTATGTAAGGGGCGGGGTGGCCGAATAGGCTAAAGCGTGTGCACAGCACCGCTAGTTGCCTGGCAACCGGATAACAGAGGTTTGAGATGATATAAAAAGTACGAGTTCGCGTCCCGGTGCCGGAGGGGATTTTAAATTCCCCGCCCTCACCCCCCGGCCCAGGAAAATCCCGTATAGCCTAAAAGGCGAGGTAGGGAAGAACAAAAAAAAAAAAAATAGGTTTATTTATGTAATTTAGTTTATTTGAATTAGCCAATAAAATTTAAACAAATGAAAATTGGATAAGAACATATGAGTGTTTTTTTTATTATTTTCTTATGCGCAACCCACTCCTGGAGTTTGGTCCATTCCTCCTTACTCACACATTATAAATATGTATTATCGTTTTATCCTTTTACTGTTATAATCTACTGTTGCAATATACAAGATAAGTGTGGAGAATGATGCATAATCACATTTATATTTCTCAATTTTCAGGTAGAACCAACGATTGTCCATTGTTCGGCGGGTATCGGTCGCACTGGTGTTCTGATCCTGATGGAAACAGCACTTTGCCTGATTGAGGCTAACCAGCCAGTTTATCCGCTGCAAATCGTGCAACATATGAGAGACCAGAGAGCCATGATGGTGCAAACTTCGGTGAGTTGGAATGTTTGTTTGATTCATATCTAAACCGTTCACATGATATCTTACTTTTGATGACTCACTTTCATTTTATTGTGGACCCACAATGCTCTATCTTAATACACTGGTTAAAATAGGTTCGTAACCTTCAGGATAATCTGCTCACTTTGCTCTAGTTTCAGTGAACAAAGACATAATAATTAATGAACATTTCTAAATTATTGTGTACTGATAAGTTAAATTAATAAAGGAGAATATGAACATCTTGTAATGATATTGTAATGAACATCTTTTTAATATCCAAATTATATATTTCGATATGTTAATTTTCAATGAATGAAGGTGTGGATGAGGTCATGATGTGGATGTAATTTGAGGATCCTATTGAGAGACCGGCTTTTTATGCTTAAACATCTGGGTAGAGTTTTGTATGCACATGTATATGAAGATGTGGAAATCTTAGTTTCCCATAGAGTAGTAACTGCTGCTAGAGTATATCTGGTTTCAGTAATATGCGTTGGCATCTTTACTACCTCATTTTAAACCACTTATTGATTTTTGAGTCTAGCTAGACATACTCGCTGTAAACTTGGTCATGGAGACCATTTTTTCTTACTCTGGCTATACTTTTACCACCCTGGTCCAAGTTCACCAACTAGGACAGAAAAATATCTATAGTTCTTCTAGGTCGTTGGATGGTGCTGGTTTCTTTGACGAGAAATCATAGGTAATGTGCTCTTAATACTGATGTGTCCCAAATATCAGTGATTTGTAAGACATGATTATTACATGTGGCAAGATTGGTACAGATAAAAACCATAGTAATAATACCCAATTGTAATAATACCTATTAGACCTTTGTTGTAATGGAAAGAAATGCTCATTCATAGCTGTCAGTAAACAACAATTACTTGTTATTGTTGTTTCACATTTCAGTTAGTTACTTCTAATTTATATTCTGAACATTTAGACTCAACTTTCAGTCCATCTTGACTTTGATCGTTTCCAACTAATACTAAGTATGCTTCATGGATGTAGACATATGATATTCCAAACAAAATTTCAATCTTTAATACTTTATACAGTCAAATTTTTGTTTTTATCATTGCAAAAGTATCTAAAATCATAATGAGAAAAGCAGTTAATTAGTACTTTCTCAATTAATTTTGTTTTGATTCTATTATGTGACATTAGTTTATTATACATACTCTAAGTAAACTTCCTATATATATATATTTTTTTTTTCAGAGCCAGTTTCGTTTTGTATGTACCTGTATCCTTCATGCCTACACAGAAGGTATTTGCAAGCCCTTACCTGAGTATTTATATCCGTGATCAGTTTTTTTGGAAATAGTTGGAGGTAGAAGGAAGCCTCGGAAAACAACCCAGTGATTTTTATTTTTAAGTGTTAGTCGAACCTGTAAAAAGAGAAAATTAGTTTTAAGCGTGCCAAAATCGAGATTAAAATGTCATTTAGGCCTCATCTCCACAGAGCAGGTTGTATACGTAGTTAAGCAGACTGTATCTTAAGTATTGTAAGGGGCATTAAATAGTAATTCGCCTCATAATTCCCATCAATTGTTGTGATATGTATGAAGGAATTTTAAGATTGTGTATTGACATCCATCCATTGCACGTCCATTTTGTATTGTGGAGCATGCCATAAGTACCTTTTTTATTAATAATTAAATGATTAAAAAATCATATTTAGATAATAATAGATATATATTTATAATAACTTTTTATTTAATATTTGTGATAAACTATGGAGTGTTTTTATATATGTGAAAATTAGATGTTTACCGGTTTTTCAATGGACATAGTGTGTAAATGTGTTTTATTTAGAAATTTTATTTTTGTTTTGGATAGTGGATTGAATTAGGAAAAATAAATCTAAAAATTAATCATGTACTATCAAATACCATTTAAACATAGCGAGTGAGGTTAAGGAGCTGTATTAAAATGTATTTTGAAAGGCTGCAAAAAATTTAATTTTTTTTGTACTGGTGCCTAAGTGCTGAATTTTATCGTCATACGATTGACAAGGTGCTCTACTTTTGAAATTTTTAACTATTTCGATATTTAATTTTTAATTGGTCATAAAATTCTTTATATCTAGTGCATTTCTATTAAGGTAGAAATGTGTTCTAAGATGATCAGCTATTATATATAAAATTATTATTTACCTTCTAATTGATTTTGTGATCAAGGTAGAATTCAGAAATTAGCTTACCTCCCGGTAAGTTAATAAAAATTTTCTGATATGTGTTTTATCTTATAAAGGAAACAGCTTTAGTGATGTTGACTCATTCCATGAAAATGTAGATCATTAAAACATATTTTTTTTAATGATATCTGTGATATTAATTTACTTCTTGAATTAAAAAAAAAAGGTTTTTGTTTTTTTTTCTAAATATTTATAAATCTACGTGTACAACTATTGTAGATTTTTTTTAATGGTTCATTATTTTTTATTTCGGCATTAGACAAACTGTTAATGTTTTGTTTTCTTAAAGGTTAACTCATTGATGTATTTGATGTTTATACAATTAATGGTGATCAGGCCAAGTTGTTATGCTTTCCACTATTGAATCAAATATATTTAATTGTTGTTCAATTATTCATTTTATTTATTTTTTTTAATATTATGTCTCTTGATTTTTAAATAAATAGTTACTTCTTAGGAAGGTTTAAATCTAGAAACAAAATCTGCTTATTCTTGTGAGGATAACTTGTGTAGCATCTTAAACATGAAAAATAACTTCCCAAGTTTAGAAACAACATTGTGGCTACTAATTTGTTAGCCATTTTTTTTTTTTCAATAAGAAACTTGACTTGACCTTATCATCATTAATTGTATTAGTTGCAACAAATTTAATGGTTTGCTGTTTTTCATGTAATGAACTGACAGTCACTTATTATTTGTTTTTGAAATGATAACAGCAGGGACCGAAACAAATTTAAAAAATAAGGAAAATTTCAAAACAAAATAATATAGGATTTTAAAAATTAGTAATTGAGTTGCTGTTATTGACCCATTAATTCAGCTAGGATTCCCTAGAACTCACACCTGATAAAAGTTATATTGACAAAAGTTTCAATTGCTGAGGAAAAATAATTGTTAGTGTTTCGTGAGCTATCAATTGACTAGATTTTTTTTTGTCCTTCCTCGCTTTTTAGGCTGTATGGGGTTTTCCTGAGCCTGGGGAGAGGGCGGTGGATTAATGCCAGAGTTAAAAAATACCCTGCCAAGGGACGCGAATATTGTAATATTTTATCATTATAAGACTTTTTTATCAGGTTGCCGAACAACCTATTTTGCACACTCTTTAGCCCTTTAGCACTACTTGGCCACCAATAGAAATAAATGGCAACAAAAAATTATTGCACGAATATGTATCAAGAGAGTGAATAAAACTAAGAAAACAAATTGTTGGTTTGTCCTAAGGACTTATACATTAAAATTTGTTTCAGCAAAAATATTTTCTTTAATGTTGAGTTATTACATATTAAATATGTTTAATTGATACAATTTGTTATTTTAGACTTTTATTCTCCTTATGGCTTTTTGATGCCTATAAATCTAAATTTAAACTTGTGTTAATACATAGAAAACATTAACTGTGAAAAAACAAATAGAATGTTTCGCTCCCTGGAAATACAGTTGTTGTTGAAGAAATAGTTAAAGATTTCTATTTGATGCCAGTCAGAAGTGTTTTAATTGTAATTACATATCTGAAATATTTATATCTGTCTGTTTTTTTTTTTTTTAATATTTTAGAAACTTAACTTTTAATTTGTTAGTAGTCCCCACTTTTCTCCAAAAGGGAAGAAAAAATATTTTAAATATTAATCTTACTTTTGTAAACTTAATTGTCATTTTTCACTGCCAGGTTTACAGAAGTGCCAACAGTATTAGTTGCATGAAATAATTTATTATTTTATGTGCACTTGCAACACTTAGTGCTTTTATGTTATTTAAAAAAAAAAAAAATAGAAACATTATTTTCCTAAATAAATTCCGCTTTTATTATTTTTCTCTTTTAATTGAAGATAAAGATTGCAATGTTATCTTTAATAGTGCCATACTAATTGTGTTCATTCAGTCAGTTGGTTATCTTTATTGTGTTAGTAGGTGGTGTGGAAATATTCTGTTCTTTGTTGGTTTGTATGAATAATGATGAATAAACCTGAAAAATGGTTTATAAAGTTATGATTAGTGTTGATTTGGTTAAGGCCTGGTTTTAAAGTCATTAGGTGTAATCCCGAAATTCCTTTTTTTTCTTTAAATTATTTCTTGAAGGAAGTTTATGGATTTCTATCAGTTTGAAAATTATATTCATCCCCTTTTTCATTTTTCTCGTTCTAAATACATATCTAAGTCATGTATCCATGACTACATTTTACAATGAATTCTAATATGACAACATTCTTTTGAGAAAAGAAACTATAAAATAATCCATACCTCCCCTTCTGTTACTCCATTAAAATGGTTCAAATTTACTTTTCTTGACATTGCAAGCTTGTTGGATTAAGAAATATTGGACTATCAAGGTTTTTTGTACTTTAAACTATCTCAAGGGATCTTTTTTGTCCCTGAAAATCCTTTGATTTATTTTAAAGCTCATCATTTCTCGCTCTGTTACATTTTCTCAAGGAGCTATTTTCTAAGTAAATGTTACCTTTCATGTGTGAATTAGAAAATGTTTGAAAAGAATGTTATAATTTTGTGTTTATTTCTAAATTTAACTCAAAATTATAATTGATGAATGATAGCTTTAATTTGTGATTCTTAGTATTAAAGTAATTTTACGTTACTTTTAATTAATTTTAATTTAATATGACCTTGTTTTTTTTTTTTAACATTCAGGACATTTTTAAACTTCTTAAATGGCCCAATTATATTTTAATAAATAGATGATTTTCTCGACCAGTCGATCTGAGGTTACTTGGCAAATTGTAGTGTGTTTATTGTTTCAATTTTTTCACTTTTATATCTCAAAACATAATACTAATCACTAGGATTAAATATTCAAAGATAAAAAGAAAATAATTTATTACCAGTGCCCAGCCTTGTAATACTGTTATTCTGGGTTAATTTTATTTCAAGACAAGTTTAGTTTTATTCTGATGGTTAAGCTTAGTCTAGAATTAAGACTTAACGCCAAGCCCAGAAATTGTCCCTAACATTCAGTTTCTGTTTATTTATTTGAACATGTTCTATAAATGCAATATTTCTCTATACAGAAATTATCAAATTATTTATTTATTTATTTTTTTTTACTATGTTACTAAATTGTGTTTAATTTATGAGAAGAATATTAGGTTTTAATAAAAATCCAAAAATTAGTTTTATACTGAAATGTGCTCTTATTCAATCCTCATTCGCAAAATTGTATTTAAAATTTACTGAATCAGAACTGAATTATTGACTGATAAATATAAATGTTTGTGGGTAATATGATTTGTTGAACAGGTCATATCGTTGTGATAAAGCAGATGTCTGGGTGTTATGCTGTGATCATGACTCTCTATACCTAATTCTGGCCTTTGTTTTTCTTAGATTTTCAACCATTTGTATAATTCTGGTAATTTCAATGAAATTTTTTATCTATGTATACAATTAATTGCCTACATTTTAATTTAAATTAATGTCAGATCGATTTTTATATGGATTAGAGATATGACCTGATGAAACAAAACATGTGATACATGTTAAATGGTCATTTTGCCCTTGTCCCATATTTTGTTTATTCTATTTTATGATGCAATAGTTTTTGATTTTGAAAAATATAGTTTTGTATATTTCACACTTCAGCTACACCAGTAATAAAATAAGTAATAATATATCCTGAGCATCCATGTCATAACTTTTATAATTAAGCTCTTTATTAATATTAAATTTATTAATTTGACTGAATAGTTTCCAAACAATGAATTAAAATGATAGGAAATTTATAGAACAAAAAATCTGGTGTAGCTTGAACCTGAGATTTTTAAACATTGAAACCTTATTTTAATGAACTATATCCATTTTTGTTGTTATATATTATGTAATTTAGTAGTTTTTACAAATGTTATCGAATGATAATACCAACAGATTTATTTTTAATGTATATTTTGTTAATTGTCTCATGAAATTTTATTGTATTATATTTTGTATCATCCAACTTCTATTATCTGCTGTGTAACATAACATTTTACTGGACAATACTGTAAATAAGTAGAGTTCAATAAATTTCAATTATGATGTAAAATTTATGTTATCATTTATTTCTTAACCTTTTTCAATGATAAGCGTATACTTTTAAATCACCTTTAGTTAATTTTGTAAT